GAGCAACTAATAAGAATAGTATAATTCAAGAAATGGAAAAAGAAGCTGAGAATTTGGAAACTAAAACCCAGAATTTACTCCTCGGGTGAGTTCGAGGTCTCCTGACAAAAATTGTGAGAAGGAAGACTAGTTGCTCACTTTTTCAAAAGAATAGCCATATCGTGAATTTTTGGTCAAGAAGAGGCAAAAACGGCGGGATTTTTTGTCAAAAAAAAAAACGAACCTGATGATGGAAAAGAAAAAATCTATATTATAAAACCTTTTTTAATCAGTGTTCAAGGTCACGTGACCTGGTCTGGGACAACGGAAGGGACTTTGTGGGGCGTAGCCCCAGCGAGCAAAGCTCGTGAATGATAAACGGAAAATTTAAAAATCACGAAACTCGAAACAATAGGCTGCAGAGCGAAAAAACAAATTTTCCAAATTTATCGAAGGCTGAGGAAAAATTTACCTTTAACGACTCGACCACTAGAGAACGACACAGCAGATGTTGACTCTGCTTTTCGTTGATCTCCTTTCTCGGTACTAGCATGAACGGAGAAACCCGAAGCACCGACAGGTATTTTAGGAACACCAACGTTTTTCACATATTTTGGATTAACGGACCGTGAAGGTGGAATCCGCACCGCAGAATTTGTTTTACGTTCAGCCACGTTCGGCGTTGTTGGAGTTTCAAATCCAAAGAGCGCCCCGGTGGACGCGACAAAGAATTACCCCACGAGAAGTAGTTTTTTTTCATTTCGCATTTTTTGGCCATATCCACGGCAACGACGGCATTTTCTATCGTCGGAAGTTACCTTATGGGGAGAAGTTACCGTTTTCGAGGCGACATTCTCGGTTTCACCACAGGGAGGAGAAGTGGCGAGGGTAATAACCGAAGATATTGGTATCGGCTGCTTTAGAACTGTCTCCGATGACTTTGGTGAGGACGAATTAGACGCCGCAGATGAGGTACAAACACGAGGCGATATAGGTTGTTGATTATCGACAGCCGTCGACGTGTTCTCGCTTGTTTGCTTCTGACGGCTGTCCCGTCACATTAACTTGAACAGGAGTGACAACGCTGACAGAGACATCGATGTCTTTGGACGGAGATTTCAAGCTTTGTTTTTGGGCGGAGACTGCGACCCATTTGTAACAGAACTCGAAGAACCGAGAAGTTCTTCATTCGCAGCCGAAACTTTTCCAGTGACGAGGCGACTTCGCCTTCATTTATCACACGCATGGATTCTACAACGGGCGACTTGGGGCAAATTTCATCCACCGCACCGCGGCTCATGCATTCTATGCTCGCATACTGTTTTCCGATCGATCTGCTGAGGGATAGAGTAGGGGAAGTCTCGAAGACGGAATCCGACTGACTACGCGAGATGGGTACTTTCGTGATGGATTCGTTATTTTTCGTCTCCGGCATCGACGCTGCAACCCAGTTTTCGGCACGAATACTGCCGCGGCAACATTTCGCCAGGAGCGGATTTGCGAGGTGAAATGCCAGCCACCTGTGTACTGACAATACCGACGGTATTGGGGTGTTTCTATCGGGGCCGATCTGATGGAAAAGTTGACATCGGTTTTTAGGACACCCGCCACTACTTGGCATTATTCTTCGACCCGCAGCTGGCAGCATTTTCTTCGACTGAGCGTCGTTGTCAGTCTGACAACCGCAATCGACATTTTTAGGCCTCACGACGCTGCTGCTCATGGGTTTGGGAATACTCGGATGAAAGGTGGCCGTACTAGCACCAGGAACATTCTGTTTCAAATTTGCTACAGTCGCCGACGAATCATCACGGCTAATAGCTGATTCGGTGTTGGTTGACGTTTTGTCCAGTTCAAAAATGAGCTCGCGACAAGCGCCACCGTCAAATTTTGCTTGAGAGTTTTACGGAATATCTAGGAAAATAAAATTTTTCATTAAACAAACATCGAGTGACCAGTTCAGAATAGGTGAGACCCTAACTCAGGCTATACGAAGAGATTTACTTTCAGCGAATAGTTAAACTTTCAAAGTCTTGCTCCTGTTAAAGGCGAATATTTGGTTTAAAAAAAACAAACGACTACTTACACGTAATATTTAATTTTTTGGTAATTTTGAATTACGAGAGTCATATACCTACTTTTCTCAATTTGTCTCTTCCATTCCAAACAGTGGGATGCCCAATATTGAAACATTAAAAAGGGTATCCTAGAATAAAGTGGAGAAAATGACTCCCGACCCAATCGGTCCATCAAACCACGCCAATATGTAAATAAAATTGAATGATATTACGAATACAAACGACTAGGTTGGGAACAGTTCTTTCAAGCAAATTATGCTTTGTAATTGACGAATGTCATACGTCTTGCGTTGCGAACAATATCAAATCTTTTCCGATTGGGCTACTTTTAACGAATATCTACGTTAAACTTGCAAAACTTGAAACTTAGTAGATTCAAGTAAATAAATAATTCCAATTGACTTGGCTTACTTCAAGTTATACTTCTCTCAAGTCTGAGCCAATTTGGTTAAACGGTGACTATAATATTATCTCGTTTTTACCACGAGTTTCTCGTCATAGGTAACAACTTCGCGCATTTGATGGGCCGACTAATCGAATATCATTTCGACCATGTCAGGTCACCCACCCAGGAATACTTTTGTTTTGATAACTTACTTTTCCTGGAGATGATTTTCTGATTTCCCACGTTAAGGAATTAGGCCTCTGGGGAGGAGGCGTATTTTCATACTCCCATTTCAATCGAAACCATTCGGCTAGATTGTGAAAGTCACGAGTGTAGTTTTCTAAAACCAGCATAACTTCCTGCGAATGAAACGATAGGTTTTTCTTAATTAGAGATATATCGATAAACTTACAATAAAAATATATCAATTTTTTTCTGCAAATCGCTTTTTTTCCTCTTTCGAAATAACAATCATGTGGATAGTTTTTAAACGACGTATAATTACTTGCCTTGCACTCGGAGATATTCTCATCCATCTCGCACGTTTGATACAGTTCGTCGATCGCATGTTGAAGATTTTCAAACAAAAATGCCCAATGCCTGGCACGTAGATCTACAAAAACATAAATAAATAAATAGCTAATATAACTTTTGGAAAATATTGTGCCGACGAATTATAATCGAAAATTGCGAAATATTCAAATATTTACGGTCACGTTGTTGTTTCGTACTTTTTAAGAAACGAACATCAAGACTGGCAGAGGAGGAGAATGTGAGAATAGCGTTGAAAAATAAGAGTAGGCGTGGATCAAGTTAGCTTCGGATGCTCACCTTAACTACTCGGAAATTGGCGAGGAAAGAAGACCTAAATATGTACTTGAATCGGTTACTGGCTCGCACTCACACAGCAATCTGACACATGCTTATAGAAACGGTCGATGAACGGGAGCATGAAAATGAGTAATTGAAAAGATGTAGACACCAATTCATTCGAACACTCGATGAAAGAGTAGAATGGTAGGGGAAAATCGCAAAACGAAATTACTCGACGATTCATTTTTCACCTTTTTTTTTTTTTTTTGTATCATACGAGGTCGTACTCGTTGGCAGGACGATAAGAAAGAAAATCTCGCCAATATAATATGTACGGTATCCGACTAACCCGAGCCGTTTGGCACAAAAGGAACGGGAAGTGTGAAAAGTTTTTTCATTCCATTTCTTCACAATGGGCGATAAATTTTACCTGACTTCTTATCGCGACCTGTTGATGCCGAACGCGTTCTACTACCGGTAACGCCAGTGTAATCTATCCGATAAGTACGTCAAACGAGGCATATTCAACAACTGGCGAGTCGATTCGGCGGAATTATCTGCAAAAAAAAGTCAATCAACTAAATGAGATAATACGAATAGCTGAAAAAAAACTTGATTATTATTCTCAACAGGTACAAAAATGTTAAGATTCCATAAGAAAGACTCTATTTGGATCAAGGCTGCAATACCAGCACAGAAAGGGTATAAGAAATGGTAACATAACAGTTGAAATTGTAGAAACGGTAGAGAAACAATAAAAGAATCAATAAAAATACTAATACCACAAACGTAATAGAAACGAAAACATAATCATATCAAATGCAACAACAGAGCAGAATAAAAACGAATATATCATTCTGATTTTTAAAAATTTTCCAAATTGTTTTTTTTTTTTAGTGTTTAATAACTCCCTGAACCGAAACTTTTTTGTTTTAGTCATTTCACAATATTAAGAAGTTTTTCTGTATGCATTCTAGAATGAAATTTAAAAAATTTTCCCGTCTTTTGGTTTACTTTTGTACATATTATTTAAATTCAAATTGTACAAAATTTTTTCATGTTCATGGCAAATGATATATTCTATTTGGAAGATTATGAAATTTGATATTTTAAATTCAATTTGCTAAATTAAAAAAAACTTTTTCGCATCATTTTCATAAATTTGTCTTCAAATTTGAAGAAAAATGAATTTCACTAATCATCCCTATCGACAAAGCAATCTCGTATGGAGCTGGCTGAATATCAGTTTTCTGATATTCGATATCGTGGGGATATAATTTTCCCCTATATCTGAAAATCCGATATAGCATTCATATATCTCCTCAATATATAGTTATTTACTATACTATTATAGTGAATAACAATATAGCTATGATATAGAAATTTCTATGTAGGAATTTTCTATATCTGTATGATATAGGGATATCAGAATTTGCTATATAGTGTAAAACAATATCTATACTATATCAGATTTACTATATTGTAAATTCGATATTGTATAAATGAGTGAAACTATATAGGAAATGCTATATCGGAAATTCTATATCATATCCATCTGAATTCAACCATCTTTTGTCAATAGGGATAAACGGTATAAAAACAGAAAGGTAACAGAAACATACTAGCCAGAAACATGAATACAATGGAAACAGAAACGCAACTGTAAGTAGAAACGATTCAAATCAGACAGAGGTATCAAAACGGTAACCGAAACAATATCATCATGGTATTGCAGCCCTGATTTCGACCAAAATAATATTCGACCGACTCGAGATATTGAAAGCAAAACTGTAAACGCTTGGATAAAACCAAGACAACATTTAATAATCTTGTTGACGGATCACTAAACCTGTAGGAATAAAAATTCGGGTAAATTTTCGTTCTGCCAGATTTGGGAAGTCGTCACCAAAACGTTCTTCTTTATCAACGAGGCCGCGAGGGTTCATTTCGCCATCACTCATTCAATAAGAATAATAATCAGGCGAATTAGGAACACGAACATGAAAATTGTACGGCAGAGTGTAAGAATTCACCCTCGATACATCATCAACTGAAGCCCTCGATATTCACAGATGATCGGAAAGAGCAACGAGTATTCTCGTAGGGTAACGGAGGGGAATATGCCGCGGTGGCTAATATGCCGCACCTTCAGAATAACAATGATAAAAATATGGAAGGGACTCGTAACACCATACACTTGTGCGCTATAATGAAATGTCTCATCCATAAAGTTTTCAGAAAAAACCTACCACTTTCACTCTTTCCATAGCATTTTTTATTCTTGTTATTTGTGATTTGATAAGGTTAATTTTTCCAAGCATTTTTTCAAGTTGTTGCCATGGGCAAAAAAAATTATCATTTCTACTTGTTTAAATGTCAGATATGTCTAATTTTTTATGAAATAATCGATGGTGGCGTTGAAAAATACCCATCCCATCATTTTTTTCTTATTGATGAGAAACGAAAAAAACTCAAATTGGGTAATATGGCCATGACTAATGGAGGCTAATATGCCGCACTAAATTTTTTAAAATTTTTCATGTCTTTTCTTGTGACTGCACAGGGCTGAAACAGATCTTGAAAAAAACTTTATTTGTATAATTTCCTATCACAGTAAATACTTATTCTTCAACTCTATTCATAAAAATGCAAAATTTTTTCAAATTTGAATTTTCATTTTCTTAATTTGATTTGTATGTGAAAACCCATAAGCCATATTACCCACCCTGTAGGGTAATATGGCCAAAAGATACTTTTTGGAAGATTCATCAAAAAATGACTATTTAAAAGAGAGAAAAATATTCTAACTCTAAGGTATTATAGATAAGTATCTGAAGTAGGCATACACCAAGTTTCAGCTTTCTGAAGTTCTCCAGAGCAAAAATATGACACATTTTCAAAAGGTGCGGCATATTCCCCTCCGTTACCTTATATAAACAGTCGTATATTATAGGAGCAACCGGACCGTAATAATGTTGATAAAAAATTCACAGCTATTGACAGGCGTGCACTCGTACAAGCAGAAAAAACTAGTTCATGTTCAGACACATTAATTAATTAATTAATTGGATTTCCTTTAGTCAAAAATATTCAATCTGATACGTACAAAATTGAGCTTGGTTTTATGCTTCGGCAAAATTGCACGCCTGACAATAACTAATATTTTTTCTACGTGATGGTCACACTACGATATACAGTTTGCTGTCAGCGAAGTAGTATGCGATTTAGAGCAAAAATAAGCCACATAGATCCTCACACTCTTCACATTTGTAACTTGGTTTAGGAATAGACGGTGAAGTGAAAACGTTTTCTACATCTCGTCTGGACGAATAAGATGATTGGTTCTGCTTACCAGCGATTAGTTGAGGGCTGGTTCGGAAGTAGTGATACGTATGCTTTTACGTAGGTGCAATGCAGAACATTGTGCGAATCCTTACTTCGATTGTTGCAGACGGGTCCATCTTCACGGCATCATTCTAGAGAGCCACTGTAATAAAATAGCTCCAGATAAGCATGATATTTCAAATCAATCGGACAAAAGAAGAAAGTTATTCAACTCGATAGCCATCGCACTCACTTAAAAGCTGGATCATAAAGAGGCACGAACATTCGAGAATTTGGCCATTCATCAAAATTTGGAACTAAATC